TCACTTTTTGGCAAAGTACTAGAGAATCTGATCAACTCTAATTTGGTTACCTTACAGGCCCTTCTTTCAGACAAGCAATATGGCTTTCACATTTCTAGGTCAACTGCTAATGCATTAATAATTATTGCTGAAAGAATTTACCAAGCTGTATCAACAATAGTGAAGCTTGAGCTGTTACTTTGGATATCATGAAGGCATTTGACAGGGTTTGACATGCTGGTCTTCTTCAGAAGTTGAAACGTTATGGTATTTCTGAATTAATTTTTGAACCAATTCAATTTTATCAAATTGAGAAATGAAAAATCTTTTTGCATTATTGCAGGTGTCCCCTAAGACTATCCTTGAACCCACATTGTTCCTAATCTTCATCAATGACTTTCCTGATGTCATCAATTTTCAACTTTGTATCTATACTGATAACTATTTACTCCTGTTAATAGTAAGTCTGAAAAATTTGATAAAGTCAAATTTGCAGTTGATCTTAAAAATGACCTTCAATCTGTTGTTAACTGAAGCAAGGAATACCTTGTTAATTTCAACACCTCGAAATGAAACTGCTCTTTTTTAATCATCTGAGAGGATCCTTTTTGCCTTCCATCAGCATGGCAGATGCTAACCTCCAGGAGAGTGATTCCTTGTCCCTTCTTAGGCTAAAGCTTTCTGCTTTCATGAAGTGAAAAGATTATATTGAATCAATTGCTAAGTTTGCTGCTAGGAAAGTTGGTTCACTGTGTCATGCTAGACAATTTTCTTGCCAGAATCTATCCTACATATTTATAAATCTAACATTTGTTCATGCATTGAATACTGCTGACACATCTGGTTTGGTGCTTCTGCTATATATTTAGAAATTTTTGATAAAAAACAAAGAAGAATCAGCAATGTTATTGGTTCTGACCTTGCATCTCAGCTCCAGTCATTTTCCCTCCTCTGTAACATAGCATCCCTGTGGCTTTTCTATAAATACTTTCATGGTAATTGTTCTGAGGAACTTTCATCTGTGGTACCTAAACTTTATGAATTTAAGCACAATACTAGATTGGTGGCAAGATCTCTTCATTTTACAGTTGAAATGATTAGATGCACACCTGTAAGTTCTATGGTAACAGTTTCTTCTATTGTATATCTCATTTGAGGTTCTTCTGGCTTTTTGTTTCCCAATCAACTTTGATCTTCAAAAATTTAAATGCAATGTCAATCATTATCTTCTTAACTCCTGTCTTTTTTTTTTATTATTGTCCTCTCCCCTTAATAGTGTTTTTATTTATTCTTACACACTCAATAACCACTTATATCATAGTGGCTTTATTGCCTTGCTTGGGTTAAAGGATTAAAAAAATTAATGCATTTTTAATTGTTTTTTTTTAGTGAATCTGTGGTGATGCAAACTATTTCAATATAAAAATTAAAATATCAATAATTTGATCATAAAAGTAATGCACATATTTACAAAATTATTTTTTTCACATCATTTCAAAGTTCCCTAACATATCTTCAACAGTTTGATATTACAGCTTTAAAATACAGTGTAAAGGAAAGCTTATCAAATCAACTACTTTATATTGGGATTGTAGCGAGTGCAAAATAATAATAACTCCTTTCACCCACTCCCTTCAAATCTGGGTGAGCTGAGGAATAAGAGGAAAAGGAATTCATGAGCCTATGTGAAATTTTCTTAGGACTAATGAAAACCTAGCCTCCATAGAAATTAGCAGATCAGCCAAGAAAAAGGGATAAATTTGCAAGTCTATGCAAAATTCCTTTTGATATAAAATGAGAAGAAAAATTAAATTAATGAGAGAAGAGTGTGAAAAATTTTGTTTCTGTTCATTGTGACCAGTGTTAAAGTTCTTGCCAATGTAAAATCATTATCCAATTATATTATCAGCCTCTAACCAAGCATGCAGCACATGAAAGAATTTTCTCTCAACCATCCAAGAAAGCTAAGTATTACAAACTATCTCTCTTTGTCTACTTTTTTGAACATAGGCAACCATTATCCCCTCTGTGAGTAATGAACTCTCTTAACTTTTTGTTTTAAACATTTTTGTTTTGAATATTATTTTGTATCTGTCTATATTTCTGAGATGAGCTATTATGTACACTATTTACATTATTCGGACTATTGTCCTCATCGTTGTCGCCATATTTATTACGTTTTGGCCATTGTACACTCCGGCCTCCTTCAGGTGGTTGGAATATTGAACTGAACCCTTTATTTTGCTCACTGGGGTAGACTTAGAACAGTGCTTTTATCCACGTGCCATGTGTCACAGTGGATAAAGATGTTAGATCCAGTGACAGGACCCAAAGAGTGTGAGTTCAATACCCAGTTAAGGCAGTGGAGAACTTTCAGACGGGAATTAACAGGAGATAACTGATATCCATTAAACATGGCATGTGGAGCTAGAACAGTCTACCCCAGTGAGCGAAATAAAAGGTTCAGTTCGACATTCCAACCACCTGAAGAAGGCCGGAGCGTACAATGGCCAAAATATTGTAATAAATATGACGGCAAAGATGAGGACTATAGTTTGAATAATGTAAATAGTGTATATTATTTTGTATCAGATCATTTAATCTGCTATATGAAAATTTCCCTTAATGATTAGTGACCCCGAAATGATATTTTTCTCCTGGATACAAGAAACACACAGAACTATACAAACTCAGCTATGCATCGTTTAGACACATGAAGAAAAAAATTTGATCAACTTCTACCTACTATCCCATGTGCGCAGACACAAAAAACTGCCAACTAAAAAAAAACTAAGTTACAAAATCTGTGGATCAAACGTCATGTAAAATGTAAATCATAAATTTCAAAACTCTAAAATACATCTACATGACATAACTATCTGGACAAGATGTTCCCCAACAAATATTTTTTTCTTGCAACATGTGAGACCCCAAAAAATCCCTAATCTCCATTGCAATTACTAAATACTATTGCATGGTGAACAGGCAAACAACACATATCACATCTCTATTGCCTTTTGCTTGACGCTTTCTCTCTCTCTCAGGCCATTATGCCTGACTTTACCTCAACTGGCAGCCATCAGAAAAAATTTTTTTTACCAAAACAAAAAGTATGACTTTCATCAAAGTTTGAGGCATGCAAAAAACAGCTTATTTTCTCAAAAAATACCACTCAAACACCACAAAAGTCAAGTCCATTTTCAACTTTAAAAAGTACTGTTTCTCCTAGGCTCAACAGATAAAGAGTGAAATAACCTCAAGTTGACTCACTGACCTTTTTCACTCTTCAAAGATTTTAACATGAACAAAACTAAGAAACCTGCAAGTACGATTTAATACATGGAGATAGTTGTGTCTTTGAAAAAAATTAACAATAATAGCAGATACCTTAAAGTTCTCGCAAACATGTATTCGATTTGCAGTAACAATTTAACCAACATCAGCTCAATAACTTTACAAATTGACAATTCTTCTATTAAAATTTTGTGCACAAACATATTCCACGTACAGTAAACAAACCAGGCCTTCCAGACAAAATCAATTCAAATTGGAAAATAACAAAATTTTAATACCAACTGCTGATACCTTTCTTTCTTCACTACTGACATATCTTCCAGATGGAATACGACTGACCCACTAGAGAATTATATTGCATCCTGATGAACACACATTACCCGGACTCACATTCTGAGTCTACCATTTTTGTTGTATGCCAGGAGACACGTGTTTTCCAAATTAAACACCCGGCCAGCTCTCCCGCAACAGGGATAAAAAGAGGCTTGGATTTTGCCCACTGAGTTTTTATTGTCGAGCAATCATTTTTCATTTCGAGCAACTAATTCAAGTTACGAAATTTATTTTATTTTTAATTATGACATTTATTTCATTTTTTGTTTCTTGCAGTATGTACTGGACGATTCATTCATTCCAGGTTTAGTTTTAAGTTGAAATGATGAATGAATTGCAGCAATAGCACATTGTTTTCGTTTTATTTTTACAAAAATAAGTGCATTTAGCGGGAAAAAAAAAAAAAAAAAGAAAGAAAGGAAACTGGAGGAAAAAATCCTACAGATGTAAAATTTGAGAAGCTCCTTACTGCACACAGTATGCACGCTGGCTTCGACGAAAAACTCATTGATTACAAAAAAGCTGATTCCACCGATTTTTGATTGAGAATCTCTAAGTCAACTTCTCAACTATAAAAAATGGATCGAGTTAGAGAACTTTGAAACATGTTTTTTTTTAATGCATTTTTACACATCCCCCCCTATTTGTATTTGATCTCAAAAGTTAATTAATCGTTCTAAATCATTTTTTTATGATAATTTTCAGTTGTACTAACTGTTCTGTCATGCCGGTGAATGTTATCATAAACTACACTACAGTTTTTACACAGTGAACAACTTCGTATCTCACGGTTATCTGTACGTCAAACAAACTCAAACATTTGTAGATGTAGGGACGTTCTTTAATCTTTCTTTAGGCTATACTTAAAAATATTAAGTTAAAACCACATTTCAGAAGGCGTTCATCTGACGAAAGATTTACAGACTGTTGAAAGATTGTTTTTTTGCTTTCATGTAAAAAAAAAGACATGTTTGAAATTGAAAATGAAAGTTAAAGTATGAACGGATTATTAATTTATATTATATGACAAGTAAATTAGTGCCTTACAGCAATGATAAGTAAAATAATGACAAACTAAATTTCATTTTTACAGAGAGAAATTGCGTCTTTAAAACGAAAAATTAAATTTAATAAAAAAAAAAATGAATTACCTTCTTAGGCGACTATGCTTCCGTTGAGTGGAGACATCACCCAGGAGTTGGTATTCGTAATCCCTTCTAAACATTTTCGAGATTTACAGGATAAACTGTATTAAATCTCTTCATTTGATGAGGCAAATTAATTGGCTAGTGGGCTGGTAGGTAAATACACAATTTTAAGTATAGGGAAATATGATAAATTACACCGAATAAGAACCGGAAGTGAGGAAAAAAAAAAAAAAAGTACATATCAGTATGGCGACAATTGATGTAGAAGACGAAACAATCCTTACAGCAATCTTTAAAGATTCTTTCCCAGGTGAGCTTATATTACCTTTAATTTTTGTTTCTCAAGACTAGGATAGATATATTTTCATTCTATGTTTTTGCTGTTCAGCTAATTTACATGCGAATCAATTCTAGCGACGGTAGCGTTATCAAACTAGTCAAGTTGTAACATCTTAAACTTTTTATTTTTAAAGAAAATAATGTAATAGTAATTGGTATTAATTTGCATTTTATATACATTCCATATAAAAAGAAAAACGCGATATAATTAGTTTTTTGTTTTGTGGACATTAGCTAAGATGATTAGTTGAACGGTGAACACTCGTTTGTTTATGTACTTAACTTCTTATTTTCGAATGCTTTAGTATAAAAAATACGTGGCTCGAGTAACTTTTACTGACGTGACAAAACTTTTTCTGATACTTCTATTCACGTTAAGGAGATAGAAAAAATAAATACATCATGTTGTTATAAAATGAACACTGAAGTTACTTTTACAGTGGAAATCATACCATATGAAGCTACGTGGTTTTATTTATTTATTTATTTTTATAATTCTCACAATGTACGTTAAAAACAAACCAAAAAAACAAACATTACAAAAAAAACTAAATTTAATTACTCTAAAAATTTTCAAATTTTCCTTGATTGCATTTCCACTTTTGGGAAATTTCATTTTTTCCATTTCTTATATTTTATTTTTATGAGATAATTAATTGCAATACAATACGCTTATTATTAAAACTGAAAGCAAAAACATAATTCAAAGTTTTATTGCATTTAAAAGAAATAGCAAATATCTACAAATCTTTTTTTAAATGTTAAAATCCAAGTCCAAAAATAAATTATATGTAAAAATAAAAAATTTAACATGACTAGACAATAAAACAATGGAATCTTACAGTACACATCTTTGAGGTAGAACTTTTAATCAGAGCTTCCTTCTTTAAGAACAAAACACATTCAAATTGTTTTCGTTTTTTTAAATAAAAGGATTTAGATTGATTTATAATTTTTGATTCATAATAAAAATCACATTTAAAGTATCAGCAGTAAATAACTTGAATCTCTCATAATAAATATCTGAATAAAGTCAAATATTTTGAATAAGATTTTAGAAAACATTTATTAAACCATAACTGGATCTTTGTAACAAAATATCAAAAAACAAATTAGACATATTCATTCAAAATTTAAATAAAATATTCCAAGTTGAAATACTGCTCAAATTTAAAATTGCTAATTTCTTAATTTGGGAAATATCTAATCCTAATCTTCAAATCTCTTCTCTAAATCTCCATTGTAATACAACCTTATGAGTTGCTTGGTGTTGTCAGGGGTTAGTTGTTTATTGAGTAAATTTTAACTGAGAAAATTAACATTCAGCATCTATGCTGGTAACAAGCATCCATATGACCTTATTGGCAATCTGTTCCAGAAGAGGAAATCTGCTTTTATTTGCATTCCAAACTTATGGGATATTAAAAGGATTTGGTAAATCATGTTGGTAATTCACATACATTTGGAATTCTTTAAAGCGATCAGTAGAAAGACATTGCAAGTCCTTGATGGCTGCAAAACTGTCTAAATCATGGCCTATACAGGGTAGCTCTCTAGAATCAAACAGGTGAGCTGCCTTGTAAAAGTTATACACAGGGTATTTATTCAATACCTGAATAATCCATACACAGGGCATTTATTCAATACCTGAATAAATACCTGGATACAGGGTATCCAGGTATTTATTCAGTTTCGAAAAAGATTTGCTGAAAAAATCTTGGAAATTTGAGATAATTCTCTCCCTCTCTGTATTTTCTAGTTCAGACAGAAGACGATCAGTTTTTTGGTCAAATGTTAATTTTGATGTACCAGAATGCAAATACTGTTTTACATTCTCCATGTTATATACAACACATGAAAGTGGAGATTTAGTTTCTTCTAAGTTTGTCAAAGCTGTTATTAAATAATGAGTGCAGTTCACATTTATAAAATGCAGATTAAGGCACAAATTATGGTAAAAGGCCTGATGTAGTCAACCATTATCTACTAATTCTAGAATCCTATCTACAGTAAGGCCATGGCTCTTTTCTTGCTTAAAGAATCCTTCATAAAACTGTACAAAGGATGAGTGATAGTTGGCCATATTAAACAGGAATTCCATCTGGTTGCCACTGGTACAATGGGTAGTTTCACTTGCTCTTAGGTAAGGAACGTTCAAACCATTTTAAGTATATATTTTTTTTTTTGTCCTACTATGCTTTTTTAAAAAAGGCTAACTTGATGAAAGTAGTGAGCTGGGTAACATTATCAAATACTGACCAGTTTGGAAATACTTTACAAACAAGATTTAAAATATATGCTAAGCACAACACATGTCAAAACTGTTAACAAAGATATTTGATGACACTTCCTTATGGGCATTTTTGCAATAGGCTCTGCAGAAATCTGTGTTACAAAGGCAATCAGTTGGTTATGTGCCATGCGTGATACACACTTAGGCGATCATGTATCTTTCGATAAAATGACTGATGAAACAGATTTTTTCCCGCAATAGGTTGCCATTCCTTTCTGCGGTAGACTAGTTGCCATCCAAGGCTATAGAACCCGGTCTGTCCTGCTATTTACCCATAGCTGGTGGGAGAAGAGGATTCATACCTTTCCCAGTGGTATTAGCATGTAAGTTAATGTAATGGATCTGACTAGAATTCAAACTCGGCTCTCTAATTTCTCAATCCGAGTCACTATCCATTACTCCACCATGCCTCCCTTAAAGGCAATAATATCTTCAAATGGAATATCCACATGAGTTATAACTCAGATGCATGCTTGACTTAGTTTGATGATTGCATTATTGCAAGGTTACAATATCAATGAGAAATGACTCCCCACGAATGCTTGCAATTACATTCAAAATACTGTGGTCATGACAGTTTCATTTTGTTATGAAGCTGACTGATTGATTAGCAAGCTTGGCTTTCAGGGCAGCAAAGCGACAAGCAAACAATTTTGGTAGATTAAGTTGCCTAACACAATTGACACTTGGAATAGCACCACCTTCTTTATAATGTTTTAATATGAATTGCCTCATTTTGTCAATTTTGTGTAAGGGAATGTCAGACAAAAAATCATGGACAAAATCATCTTGTACTTCTTTACTCTTCTACTAAGTTGTGATGTCTTCTGTTTCAGTTGAGCCAACTTTTTTGAAGACATTTTTATCAGATGAGTTTTTGATTTGATGTGAATTTTGATTATGTCCACCCTAAAAATATGAACACTATGGAGACAGAATTTGCAAAATAGCATTTTCTTCAACATAAAAGTCATCAGGAAATTTTGCTTTACTCTGGCTTTAGACCAAATTTTACATACTGGGGTCATTTTCATTTCTTTTTTTTTTTTTTTTAAAGCAGGCCCAACTTTTGAGGTTGATTCACTATATTGATTTGATTCAGTCATCTTGGCAATTTGTTCTTTATTCATACAACTGGGTTGGAGTACAAAATATAAATAAAATATTAAAAAATAATCATTAACAGTTAATGTTATTAAAGGATTTTTTGTTCAATTTAAATTTGTTTACAATGGTGAAGCACTGAAGATGATGCAATTATTAATCCAAGAGAATCGCTGTGTGACGGTAAGCTTAGACAAGCTAGTTGTTTCATAGATGTTTTGGGATAATTTTTTTTCTTTATTTCTAAATTGTATGGTAGGCACGCAATAGCATTTACTTTTTCATATTCATAAAACAAGCTTTCAAGTTGTTTAGAATCTTTTACTTGTAAATTCTGTGAGGCCTAAAACAAATGATTTTGTTAAAATTATCGGTTTGATCTTTGTCTCTCTCTCCCCTCCAATTTTGACATCAACTAGTGCCTATCTTCCATTTCCACTTTAACAATGGATTTCAGTAGACACGACTAAGCCGTGACCTAACTTTCATCTTGTTTGCAGCATGCAATTTCTTAGAAAAGTTATAAAATATTGAAAAATAGACTAGCCAACATATTCTCAAAAAATTGACACCCCAATTTGACAGCTTAGTTAGATATGTAAAATTTTTTTTTACCAATTAGCTTGATGCAATTTTTTTTTTTTTTTTCAGTTAAAACCAAAATTTCTTTAAATTTAACTTCAAAGAAGACATTTAAATTATTTATGTGTGGTGGTATCTCTTTGAAAATTAAAGCACTTGGCTCATTGTTTGTCAAATTTCTTTAATTCTTAAAAAAATTTGTTCATTGCTTCTGCTATTGCCTCCAGATTATTACCATATTTTTCCAAACTCCTTTTAAGGTTTGGAAACAGGAAATTGTCAAATCTGATAGTCGTTGGTCTATGCACTCAAGTCTCAGATTTCTAGAACAAGTTATCTTGTCAGCTCTCTGATCAGGTGATCTGCAATGAATATATAACTTTTTTTTTCACAGTTTTTCTACAATTTTTATTTCAGTGCCTACTTTAATCAACATAAATTACAGTAGTATTATATGTTAACAATATAGTCATCAAAATATCTCCACCCCCAATAAAAACAAAATATGGCCATAACCTTTACCACTGGGTTTTTGGTCTTTAATTACTTCAGCCATAGAAAACCCAATTTACTAAATTGCAAAAAATGCTGCAAAATGAACATGGTATTGTCCAATTGATATATTGTTTTTGGTCAGCATTCAAGCATTTTGACACCCACTTGGTTGAATTCCCAATTTGCTCAGAGATTATAAACCCAATATATTCATTTGCTATCTATAGTGTCCCAGCATTACTTTAGGTTGAGATCTGACTGATTAATCAAAATTCTTAACCACAAAATCATAACCCAATTTCAAGACTTGCCATTGTTGCGGTGCTGCATCTTAAGTCTCCAAGTTGCCACTTCTTCACAGTTAAGTATGATGGGAATTTACAGCCATATCATGTTAAAACAATTATTCTCGTTTGATCACTAAAGTTAAGCAATTTCAAGCCTGGTCAGTACTTAGATGGGTGACCACTTGGGTATAATGGTGTAATGGATAACAGCTTGGAATTTGGAGAGCTGAGTTCCAATTGATAAACCATAAAAAAAACAAATCAATCAGTGAATGTTTGAATGATACATCAATGGATTTCCTTTGGAGTTTTCTTCAATATAAACTGGAACTCCTTGATAGTCTGGAGTTGAACATTTGAAAATTTATGTAGACATAGTTCAGTCAATGTGCTGAAACAAATTCAAAACTAAAAACAAGGCTCTACAAATTGGTACTTTACTGTATGAAAGAAATATATATATATATATATATATGTATTTTGTCCTGACAAAATAAAACTCAAATTTTGGGAGTGGATTTGGCTGAAAAATTCTTTAGCACTCTCTGTATTGGCTGCAGTTATTATTCATGTTTAGTTGGAAATAAATATCTAATGAAGCAATTTTTATTGATGGAAAATATTCAAACTAAAAATTTCCCAAATATCAAATTCCATATTAATTCCAACAATACCATATATTAGCTCATATAGAAAAAATTTATGAAGCTTTAATATTACTCAAACTTTATAAATTGAGCATAAAATCTTTTATAGTTAATCACATTCTTAAGAATAGCATATGCACAAATTTTAAAGATTTGTTTAAACATTCATTTTTAGTAAGGCTTAGATTATTGAACAAAATAAAAACATATTGAAAGTACAATATTCTAACTTGTACCAATAAATAAAATGAAAGTCTTGGTAGCAATGATTATAATTTCCTGTCAAGATATAAAGAAGTTTTTGCATATTTATGTTACAGATAGTTGGAAGGATAATCCAGACTTTGTTCAATATTTAGCAGAATTAAGTTCCTTTGGAATTGAGAAGTTGAGTAAGTAGTTTGTTTTTCTTTTAAATTTATATATCTAATATGTTAAATGTATTTTGTATATCTAACTTTCAAAGTTTAAAACTCTTTTCATAAAAATTTTGCAAGTTATTTCAGATAAAAATTGGTTAATATCAACTTTATTAAGAAAAAAAAATATTGAAATTTTTCAATCTTCAAATAAATGAAAAAGTTTAAATTTGAACAATAGTACCGGCTTCATGAAAGATACTGAAATCTATTGTCATTATGATACAAATATTAATGTATTTACATGTTTTAGGTCGAGAACCAGAGAGACTTTCGGAAGAAAAGAGTCAGATATTGGAAGAAACTCAAGATTTGGCTTTTCACAACTACAAAACATTTATTCAAACTGCTGAATGCTCTAGAGAAATTTTTGAAGATGTAAGTAATTGTTTTTTTTTATATAGATTGACCTTTTCATTTGTTAGCAAAAAATATTTATACAAATGTTCTGTTCAGTGTCAGATTTCAAAATACTACTAAAATTTTCCATTGATATCCTAATATTTATAAAATAACCTAGATGTATTAAAAATGAACACAGAATTCTATACATAAAATTAGGTACCTCCAAAGATTTGCTAAAAAAAATGAGCATAGATGAAAAAATGCCCAAAACTTAATAAAAACAAAGTTTTATAATCAAAATCTTTATTGACAAGAGGAAAGATTAATTCAAGTTCGAATTCAAGTCTAATCCATTACATTCACTTACATGCTAATACCCTTGGGAAAGGTAGGAATCCTCTTCTTCTCACTCCAGCTACGGGTAAATAGTAGGACAGATTGGGTTCTATAGCCTTGGATAGCAACTGGTCTAGAAGGACAATTCTAAATTCAAAACCTGGGGACCTTGTGGCACGTAGTGCACCAGTACCCTGTATTTTGCACTTCAAAAAGTGTGGTTGGTTCTGTGCAAAGCCTTCACTACTATAATCAAATCATGTGTGCTGAGCTGCTTGACCCTCATATGTCGAATATGGCGGGAGAGTCCATTATATATATATATATATTGCATGTGTTTCTCCTCCCAGTTATTTTGTTTTATAAAATTTCAAGGAATTCATTTTTGTAGAGTTTAATGTCTATATTAATTATAAGCACAAGTCCTTGGAGAATTTAAATCATTTTTTTTTGTTAAACAGGACCCTCAGTTACTGAAAATCTGTCCTGAATCATAAAATAGAAAATGCAATAAAACTAAGTCATTTAGAAAAGCTTTTAATTACTTTTATGAATAACATATATTATGGACACTATTCTTTTATGAATTTTTTTTTTCTTCTTTTTGATGAATAATGAATTTTTATAAGAATTTTTTTAAAAAATTTTAATTAGAATAATTAAAGTTTTAAATCTTAAAATTCTGTACTAATTTGTACTGGTTAGGTGATATTGCTATTAAGTAAAATCTATGTTTACTAATCATAAATGGAAAAGCTTATTACAATTAAGTACCCCCACCCCAGTATTTTAAAAAGATTTCAAATTTTTTGTGTGTGTATAAATGTGCCGATTTTTATAAAATCCATACACAACATTATCAGAAAATAAGAGTGGTAACTTGTAAATTCAAAAGCCAAAGTACTTAAAATTCAATAAAAAAGATTACTTAGAATATTTTTCTAAATTTTTAAGTTTACTGGGTAATTAAAAAAAATTATAAAAAAAAGGCACTCACATTATATTTTCTACAGCTCTGTCTCTTGTAGAAAAAAGTTCCCAAACATAAGTCTATCGAGATAGTTATCAATACCAAATAAAAACACCTACCTCAGTGTTAAAAAATGCTTTTCTGTGATATTTTAAAGTAAAAGTAATATTTGTTTCAAATCAGATGTTTAAACTTTAAAGCCACTAAACTTCCTCAAAAAATCATATTTTATTTTTGAAAGTTTTTTACTAAAGAAAATTACATTGCATATTATATTTAAATTTATTTTGAAATGAAGCAAAGAATTTTACTTATTGGAAATATTAAATTTAATCTATTAACTTGAAATAAAAGCTTCAAGGAAGATTTTTTGATTTTAAAAATTAATTTTAAATTTCCCCCCAAAGCCACAAAGCACCTGATTATAATTGTGTTGTGTATGATACACCTAATTTACATAAGCGGACTACCGACCATATAAATATGGGTTGGTACCGGAAGACGGGGAAGATAGTAGAGATTAAGAAATTGAATCCAGAGACTCTGCCCGACTGCGATTTAGTCAACCCATTATGCAGGAACAGTCTTCCCAAGAATATACCAAACTAACTGTAAATATTGTGTACCTATTCTTTGTTTCAATACATTTTGTTAACGTACATTTTGTGTTGTATTATTCCATGCTTATTTAAGCTTCAACAATGGCGACGAGGTATAAAGAACTTTTACGTTCGAAAAAAAAAAAAAAAATTAATAATTGATAGCCTTCAATAATTGGGGACAAGTGGAAGAACCCAGGCTGTAAAAAAAAAAAATCATTAATTAAAAGTCGAACATCTAATGGAACGGAAAAGTATTCTGAAGTTTGGACAGTTAAAACTAGTTAAAGGACGACTAAGCTTAAAGGAATTACACTCAGAAAAATCTGGAAGGTGGCGTAAACAAATAACGGCGAAAAAAAAAAAAAAAAAATGCTGGCCGACTAAAAAAAAAAAAAAAAAATGCTGGCCGACTAAAAAAAAAAAAAACATGCATGGAATTAAAAGGAGCACAAATACCACGGTCGACTTTGAAAGGTAAGTTTAACTTGTAAAAAAAAAAAAAAAAAAAAATTTGTTATTTTTGTTTGTTTGGTTGCTCAACAATATTTTATAAAGCAAGACATAAAATTAAAAAAGGCGTATGTTGTTTCAATTTTGTTTTGTCTGCTTATAGTATATTCGTGGATACACAATTTAAAAGTATATTCTTTGTTGCATGAACACTATCAGTTAAAAATGGAGGAATTATCCAAAGTCATAGCTGAATTGTTTAAAGCCCAGCAGTTGAGTCAAGCTGAATTATTCAAATCCCAGCAGTTGAGTCTGCAACAACAAAGTGAACAGGTTGCCTTATTAAGAGAACAACAATTAGCACAGCAGAATTATCAAGAAAGGCAAGAGGAGTTGAGTCAGCAACGTCAAAGGAACAGGAAGAAATGTATGTCAAGGTTTTGGAAATTCAAAAGTTAACATTGGAGAAATTAAACAACGTTCAGGTAAATGAAAGTAACTCTTCATATTCTAATAACATCATATTTAATTCGTTGGAAACTTTCAACTATGTGCCAGACGAAGGAAAAACGTTTGAAGCGTACTTTAAACGATATGAAGATATTTTCCACACAGACTGTGAAAACTGGTCGAATTCAAGAAAAGTCAGTCTATTACTAAGAAAGCTAGGTACAGCAGAACATAGCAAATTTGTAGATTTTATTCTACCGAGAAGAACAAATGAATTGGAATTCTCGGAAACAGTGAAATTGCTAAAGGAGTTGTTTGGAGCAAATATGTCGCTTTGGCATAAGCGATGGTTATGCATGAATGTCGCTAAATCCGACGATCAGGATTACTTAACTTATGCATCTATAGTGAATAGACATTGTGACAATTTCAGATTGGCAGAGATTACGGTTGAAGAATTCAAGTGTTTAATTTTTGCTCAAGGACTGGTATCCAGTAAAAGTGCGAAATAAGGCGAGAGTTTTGTCTAAACTCGAATCTGAACAAAACCTTACCCTGCAAAAGTTAGCAGAGGAGTGTCAGCGGGCCGTAAGTTTAAAGAAAGAGTCTCAAAAATTGAAGAAGCTGGTATTGCTTATATTAAAAAGTGAAGAAACAGTCAAATTACCCATCAGAAAAAAAATTGGATTAAAAATTCGGCGTATTTTAAAAATAAACAAGAAAAATTAAATGGAAAAAATGAGGAGGGAAAAAAAATGGTTCCGCCATTTAATTGTAGACGGTGCAACGGAAGACACTGGGAGTTAAATTGCCCATATAGAAATAAAAAATGTTTCGTGTGCCACAAGAATGGTCACAAAGGGTCGTGTTGTAAAAAAAAAAAAGTCAATAGCGAATTAGACAAACAAATTCAAATATCAAATCAGATAGAGATTTGAGGAAGTATGTGACGACTGAAATATTTAAAAAAGAATATCAAATTTCAACTCGATTCGGGTTCAGATTTAACAATAATGAACTATAAAACATGGAAAATTTTAAAAGGCCTACAATAATGAAGTCAGCGAAACGCTTTTCGAACAGTGACTGGAAAGGAAATTAAATTGAAAGGCGAGGTTGTACTTCCTATGAAATTGAACAGGATAGTTAAAAATAAAAGTTTTCATTCTGAAAAATGGAGAAAACTTGATGGGTACAGATTTTATTGAAACATTTGAATTGTGGGATAAACCGTTAAACTCTTTCTGCAGAAAAGTAGAAAGTGTACGCAAACAAGACAGGACATTATTGAGGAATTAAAAAAAAGTTTCCGGAAACTTTCACACCTGGTCTTGGAAGATGTAACAAGTTTGAAGCCAAATTGAATTAAAGGAAAATACTATGCCAATTTTAAAAAGAAACGTACTGTGCCTTTTCGTAGAAGTGTAGAGAAAATTAACGAAAGAACTTGATAGGTTGGAAAAAATGGGAATTATTTCGAAAGTAGAATCTAATTCATGGGCTGCGCCGATTGTGTGCATAAAAAGAAATCAAACCAAGTCAGAGTCTGCGTTGATTTTTTCGACAGGGTTGAACCGGTAATTAGGACTACCATTACCCGTTACCGAGTCCGGAGGAGATTTTTAACAAGCTAAATGGTGGAGTTATATTTTCAAAATTGACTTATCAGATGCCTATCTCCAAATTCCGTCGAAGAGGAATGTTCGAAGTTACTAGGGATAAACACGCATAGAGGGTTATTCAAGTACAACAGGCTTCCTTTTGGTATTAAAGTGGCACCTGCCATTTTTCAACAAGCTATGGACGTCATGCTGAATGATTTAGACTTTATGCGCTTACTTAGACGACATCATAGTAAGGAGCTTAATCGGTCGACGAACATCGAGAGCATCTCAATCAAGTATTTAAAAAATTCAGGACTTTGGATTTAAAGTCAAAGAGTCAAAGTGCGAATTTGGTTTGGAGGAAATTAAGTATTTAGGGCACATAATCAACAAAAATGGCAGATGTCCAGATCCGGAAAGGTCCATTGCGATTAGAGACATGCCAACGCCCACTAATGTGGCGATGCTACAAAGTTTTCTAGGGCTTGCAAATTATTATCAAGCGTTCATTAAAGGAATGTACAATTTAAGAGCTCCGTTGAATGAACTGCTAAAAAAAAAGACAAGGCATGGGAATGGACGGTAGAATGTCAGAAAGCCTTTGATGAAATAAAGAAAATG